AAAATACAAACTCGAGAGTACCATTTTCTAAAATTAATATGTTTAATTAATTTAAAAACTTTATCATCTTTGTCGGAAGACTCCGGTTCTGACTTAGTGCTAGACTTAGCGAAGGGGTTACTAGACTCTGCTTTAGACTCCATTAAGTTAATTAAATCTTGCTTGATTTCAAAATTTTCAATTTGTAATTTCTAGCTAATTTTTTTTAACTCTAGAATTTCTTTCTTGATGGTTTTGACTTCCAATTGGAGATCCTGAAGGGTGACTTCTTTCTTCTTACTAACCTTTCTAAAGTAGTGTTTAGACTTATCTTAGGAGGGTTACTAGAACTGGGTTCTTCCTTACTTATGACTTTTCTAAGTTTTCTAAGATATTCAGATTTTAACTCAGGATTTTCAACTTTACTGATTAAATCTATTAATAACTCTTCTTGTTCTTCTTGTTTGGTGAGGACACAAATTGATTTACTTAAGACATTACAGCATTTATCCTTACTGGACTGTAGGTGAACTGGATTGTGAGTTATCGGAACTGTAACTTTCTGATTTACTTAAGACATTACAGATGCTAACTTTAACTGCTTTATCGTATCTTTTACTTTACACTCATTAGCAAAATGACCAAATCTTTTACACTTAAAACATTTAACTTTTCTTTTGTCTGACTCTTTCTTAAAGTGACCTTTCTTTTTATCATGTCGGGAATAATTTGACCATCTTTTCTTAGGGGTGAATTTCCTTTCACTATAAAATTCATCATTATTTCTGAAAAATTTCTCTTTCGAGAATAAATTCGGCTTTTACTAAATCTTTTATCATGACTCTTGTTTTGCCTAGACAGGGAAATTGGTGCTAGACCGTATTGTTCGCAAAAATTTCCTAACTCATATTTGGCTGACTTTCTTTCTGACTGTGCAGACTTACTGATTTTTAGATCAACACACATTTTCATTCCTACTTGATTAATTGTACTAATAATATTACCGTAGGTTAATTCATCATAGTTAATTTGTCTTGACTCATTACTAAGGACTGTTCTAATTTTATGAGCAAATAGGTTGGGAAGACCATTAATAAACTTTTCTTTCCAAAAAGCTTGATTACTATCTTCTCTAAGCATGACTCTGGAAATGAAAACATCTTTATACCATCTAAAATCACTTAACTTGGGGCATTACAGATTGCTTAATTGATCATGAATTCTAGCGGTTGTATTACTGGGTGTACCTATAAAGTGTTCAATTATTGTGTAGAGCAGGGTATTGACTCCATCTTCTAATCCTGCACCTAAACGTTCATAAAAAATAGGATAACCTAATTCATTTTGTTTAACTGCATGAATGATACTTGACTTTGCTGTTTTTGTTAAATGCTTATCCCACCAAGAATGAAGTGTTCCGGTGAAACCAGTTTCTAAAAGAGGGACTATTTCTGACTGTCTTAGGTTGTGATTGGTGACATAACTATTGGCGACCATAGAGATGTGTTGTAATTTATTGAGTATCTCCTGTTCGGACAGACCGTCAATATTCCATTCGTATAGCTTGTCAGAAGATACAGTAAACTAACTCTGAGTTCTTTCTTCAAATTGGATATCTGGGGGCGTAGGCTTGGGGTACCAATTCTTAGTGAGACTCGTGGGGTTGACTTTTCCTCTTAAACGACTGAGTTTAAGGTTCTGGGGATCCTGATTGACTCTTAAATTACTGAAGGCTTTTTCAATTTTTGAAACGTTACTTGTGTCTGACTCATGGCTAGAGATGGACTCTAAAGACAAGCTAACTCACTATCATAGGAATTAACTTCAAATTGTAAGACTTTAACTCCTGAAGGTTCTGGGTCTGGTTCAGGTTTTTGTTTTATTGTGGTTAATTGTCAAGACCCATATGATTTAAATGAAGACTAGCCTTTCAGCTAAAGTGGCCGAAAAGAGTTAAAACAGTTTCACCAGAGTTGAAGTAAGTTAAAGCAGATTCCCCGGCAAGTAAAATTTATTTTCTTTTGAGTTATCATTCCATCTTTGGAATCCAATGTAATTCAGAGTTTATAAGTTAGCCTTCTCAAGTCATTTGTATTCAAGTTGTAATTTTCTTTCAGATTTCAAAGTTCTCTCAGAATCCTAAACCTGAGAAAACACTTGTAAGATATGAATGCTGAGTGCCCTCAATAGTAATCTTTCAAGGATTTCTGTAAGTTTTGCAACTTCACTATTTTGAGTTATAAATATTTTCGAGTTATATTCATGTTTTTATGTTACACCTATATACCATATTATACTTATATTTTGATAATTTGCATTTATTCAATTGCATGCTTTTATTTTTATTTTTATAGAATTATTTGGATCATCATCTCCACTCATCACTACTACCACCTCTTCATGACCTACTCTGATCCTTGTGCTCCCTTCTATTTCCCTAGTTAAACTGGTTCTCCTCCCTTTCTGGTATCAGAGCCGTAAGTGTTGAAGGAGTCAGTTCTTAAGTCTGCTACTCATCCCGCCCAAGTGGCTGGTTTAAGTCTTCCGAGTTAGAAAGTATCTCTCAATTTCTTCTGAGTCTATTTCTTAGTTATTTGTCCCCTTGAGTCTTTTTCTCTCGACTTGAACAGTAAGTCTTAGAGTCCAAACAGTAAGTCCTAGGAGAGGCATGAGCAGTTGCGGCCTGAGAGGTGAGAGAGAGAAACGTCTTGAGTCTCAGATACCTTAGAGTCAGCCTTAGGAGTCACTAAGAGTCTTCTACCTTTGGAGTCTAAAATAAAAAACTTGTAAGTATGAGTGGCTTTCTAAGAACCAACTCAGTCAATTCTTCCTGTTCTAGAGCCAGTTTGAGCAAAGTTCCAGACATAGTTAATGAAGAACAAGTAGAATTTGAATCAACTAGTGAGTTAACCTGTAGAGATTGGAACATACCCAGAATCTCTAGTAAAGAAATTTACAAGCAACAATGGTCTCTTAAGTCATTTAAGTCAACTACCCATATTAAGATAGTAGAACAAGTCTATGCCTTGAGTAAGGAACATGAAACATGCCAGTTACTTAATCTTGAGTCAATTAAAAACCATAAGAAAGATGGTAATGATTTTTTACACATTGGTTTAGTTCAAGTTGCAATTAAACCTCTAACCAAATTAGGTCTTGATGCTTCAATTCTCCTATGCCTAAGAGATGCCAGATTCCCTGATTTTCAGGATAGTGCTTTAGGAATTATTGAGTCAAGTCTGTTTCATGGTCCTATTCACTTTGACTGTTATCCAGATTTTACAGTAAGCCTTAGTGATCCCCATATTCTTAAAACATTAACTTTGAATATTAAAACCCATGGGTACAATGTTTTACCCGGTAGTCAACCTTTAGCTTTAATTTACAAAATTTATTACAAAGTAACAGGAACCAACATGAATTTCCAAGCCCTTAGTAAAAGCCCTAAAGAACAAACACTGTTAATCCAGAGTCACATAGCTGATGCTAATATCACAATTCCCCACACAATAAAATGGTCAGATGTTAAGTTACCCGCTGATTGGTTCTTAACAATTGAGAGCCAACCAATCCCGGTTCAACGAAGTTTAAATAATTTAGATTATATTAAACAATACTTAGATGGTACAGTTAAAATTAATTTTGGTAGACAACCACATCCAATTAAATCTACCGTCCAATTAGAATAGTTACCAACCCCTAGTCAATCCTTTAAGATTCTAGCCAGACATTCCTTTGCCGAGTCATCTTCTACCTTAGAAAGAGATTTAGAAATTGAAAAAGCCTTAATTGATTTTAAGTTATACAAATTAAGAAAGAAAGCACAAGTAGTTCAACCTTGTTACGAAAAAACCCTAGTTGAAGAAAAGTCAAATTCCCCCGAGTCACCTACACAAACAGATTTTGAAGCCTCTACCTTTGAAGTAGATAACCAGTTAAGAACCCTGAGTAAACCTTTTCGGATTCACTGGTCAAAACTAGATGATCATTTCTGTGCCCCTGAAAATAAGTTAAGAAAAGTTAATTATCATGCTTTTTTCCCCAAAGATCAAAGAAAAGAAATTTTCAATGATTGGAAAGATTTCATGAAAACAACCAAGTCAGAAATTTACTACCTAGATTACGTTGAGAACCACCACATGAGTCAAAAGTTAACAACTTTAACCCAAGAAAAATGAGAAAAAGAAGATAATACAAAAGTCATTTCTACTCACGCCCAGTAGAAACTATAGTCATTAGTCACAAGAAAGCCAAAATCGTTGCCAGTCCTTACAAAGTCGCCAATCAAAACGATACAGACAAAAGAGTAATTGAGCAAAATAATTACACCAATCATAGTTTAATAGTTATTGGAAAATAGTTAGACAAAATTGCAGAGTTTAATAGTTATTGGAAAACAGTTAGACAAAATTGAAACGAAAGTTGATAAGTTAATTCCCCAGGAAATTAACCTTAAGCAACAAAAGGAAAAACCTCTAGTACAGTTCCAAGAGTTAAAACCCTGTTCTGCGTTAAAATCCAGTCCAACAATGAAGAAAATTGAAGAAATGCGGGGTAGTCTGCCCATCTGAACTTCGGAGTAGAATCTTTTTGACTGTAAGATTGACTTGGCTTTTGACTGGAGTATGACTGGGACTTGGGACTGGCATCGTCTTCATCATCACTCATTTGACTGATTTGTAACTTAATTTGTTTTGCTAACTCTTTTAATGGATTGTGACGATGCTCGAGAACTTGATGATGGCAGCGGCTCTTTGACTCTCCTTCAACTCCAGCATCAGAGAATCCTATTTTCTGGTCTTCTTTAAATAAGGAACAAATCCTCTTTTGACTTGGTAACTATACTTTCCTAGTTTGGCTTCAATTGTCTTTTGATGAGTTGGCATCCAAAATCCTAATAAATATAGGATCAGACCTTAGAAAATAACCTTGCATCCTTATAGACACTTCCCAAATGTAATTGACACAAATTAAACTCCAAGGATTGAACTTCAAAAGGATTATTTTGCAAAACCCGCAGAACACATTCTGCCCGAACTGTCTGTACTAAAACGGCCACTACTCTCTCCACACATGTCCGAATCATGAACCGTAAAATTCTACAGAAATCTAACATCCGTATCTTTCCAATGATATAAGACTCAACATCTGGTTGGCTCTGAGGAAGTACAGTATATTCTATCAAGTTGACTGATCTGCACAGGAAATTCTGCTCCTAGGATTCCACATTATATTTCAATCCCAAAATTGCTCATTTTGCTTGCTTTTCTATCTTTACTCTTCAAACCTAGTAAAACACAAAACTAAGTAAAAATGGACTAAACTCACTCAAGAACAGAGCAAGAATCTAAGAGAAAGATAATAAAAATGTACGAAATAATTGTTATATCAGTGTCTGGTTATACTAACATATTAAACTGAGACTCCAGCAGCCATGTAGCAGAAGCTTCTGTACAGCGCCACTTCTATAATGATAGCGACTGTGGAACAAAACCAAGCCTGTTATAGTACCATGGGGGGACTTGGTTTATGGCATGAAGGAGATGCTTCCAGGAACGTAAAAGAACCCTTGCATTTGGTGCCAGCTGCCCATTCCATGCCTGCTTCAAACAGTATGAACAACAATACAATGAGCTGCAGCTTCCCAGACCTGCAAACAGAAATCAAATTCAGTTGAGTGAGAATAGAAAATAACCTCCTCAATGTCAAAGCTACATTGTAACATATTTCATTTAACTGCTCTGAGAAAGTCAGAAAGGGTTCTTTCCTGTTCTCAGCTTGATTCTTTCTCACCTTGTCTTGTGAAACTACTCTGCAGTCGGATTCTTCTTGGAGCACCTCCCATGTGTTCAGTGAGGACGTGAATGGAGGCTAGTTGTAGGATAGATATACTAGTTGAAGAAGACTACTGATCTGAGGAATATCTGTAGTTTGTCTTGATAGAGGAAGTACTACCATCTCCAAAAGACTGCTTCTGAGAAAAGACATCTTTACTTCATCTGTACTCATTGCATTCAGAGAAGGGTAGAGTTCTGATAACATTTCAACCATTTTCATTTGCTGGTCTTTCTTTGTAATTTTGGGGATGCTGGGACACATTTTCTTTCTTTTTTTGGGTTACACACACATCAAAGATCTTGGACATAACCCTTGCCGTCTGTGACAGACTAGTAACTTGTGTCGTTTATCCTGGATATAAATGTCTAAAACTACGAACAAGTTTCCAAAGCCTAGACAAATGTGAGTGTTTTACTCAACACAGTTGAATTATTTGTAGGAGAATATCACTGTCGATAATAACGTGAGTTGGAGACACATTCTTACAAGGACTCTTGTGGTTTATAAGTCCCCTTTGATATTCTCCTATAAATAAAATGTTGTGTTTCTCTCCAATAGCTAATACAGATAATCTTTCCATGGAGTACTTTAGTGTCAGAGTCACTGTTGTACCCCACTTGTGGAAGCAAAATATCTACGGATCTAGGTCAAATAATTAAGCCAATCAATTTGGGAATTATTTGACCAAATTAGGATGATTTGATTCTTACCCTAATTGGAGATTTGATTTTAATCGTATCCCTAATTAAATCAATCTCTCTAAATCGGGGAAGAATAATTTCTTTCTATCTGTGGAATTATTCTTCGGAAACCCTAGCTTCTGAGGCTCCTATAAATACATGGCTATACCAAGGGTTGAGGTACGTCTAAACTTATGTCTGAAACTCTGCAGAAATCCTCTCTCACAAACTCTAGGCATCACTTAGGCATCGCTTAGGCATCACTTAGGCATCGCACAAACTCTAGGCATCGCTTAGGCATCGCTTAGGCATCACTTAGGCATCGCTTAGGCATCGCTTAGGCATCACTTAGGCATCGCTTAGGCATCGCTTAGGCATCACTTAGGCATCGCTTAGGCATCGCTTAGGCATCACTTAGGCATCGCTTAGGCATCGCTTAGGCATCACTTAGGCATCGCTTAGGCATCGCTTAGGCATCGGAGGGTACACCCACGGGTGTGGTCTTTTACTCTGTCCTAACTTAGGCATCGGAGGGTCTTTGACTAACACCCACGGGTGTGGTCTTTTACTCTGTACTATCTTTTACTCTGTATTGTCTTTTACTCTTTTTTGGGAACGAAAATCGCTCCCACACCCATCATAAACCTTTTCCAATGATTTTAGTATGTTGTAGTCATTGAAAAGAGTTTATGATGTTTCTGTTATTCAAGAACTTTGTGGGAAAAGAGTCGCATATTGCGACTCATTGCATCCAATATAGTTATTGGCATGCAGAAAATCTCCCTCTAGCTCAAATTGACGAAAGAACGATTCCAGATTTTCTTCTGCTTGAGAATAAACCTGGATTAAGAATCATAACAAGCAAGTGTTAAGTTTGGGTGTACTTCTTGTGCTCCATATTAAGAATTATGTATATGAAAGTTTCAAAGAGAATGTGGATTCTCACCTCTGAACTCCTAGTTTGATTCTCGAAATTAGAGGCAGTGTTGCTAACTGGTTTACTGTAATAGTTGGTCGGAATACTATTCTTGTTTGGAAGAGAAGAATCATTATCCCCAATTGGAGATGGCCAGCTACTGCATTCATCAGTATAGACATAAGGAGCATTTCCCAGCTCAGGTGGCCCAGGAGGAGGAAAGGGTGAATCCAGCTCTTCTCCTAGCTGAGCACATATCTGCCATTGCCAGATTAAGCATCACAAAACAAGCAAGTGCTAAGTTTTGATATACTTCTTGTTCTCCATATCAACAAGTTCACATCAGAAAATGTTCAAAAAGTCTCACCTTTTGAAGCATATTAGATGAAACACAGCCACCAGGTTCACCAGCATCAGGATTGCAACTGCCAAGAGGAACATGTTCTACCTCCTTGTAGGCCAGAAATTCTTCTGGGTGTGGAATCATATGATTGATAGCAGCAGCTTGGTTATTAGAATTAGAGCTGATGTAATCACCAGTAACAGGAACATTTCCCAGCTGAGGTAGCTGGTGTTGGCGAGGCCGCTCAGGAGGAGAAGGTGAATCCAGATATTCTCCTCCCTTAGCACATAGCTGCCAGATTAAGAATCACAAACAAGCAAGCAAGCATTAAGTTATTGATATATTTCGTGTGCTCCACATTTCCGATTTTACATCAGAAATCTTCAAAAAGCAGATTAATTCTCACCTCTTGAATCATATCATCAAAATCAGATGAAACAAAGCCACCAGGTTCACCATCGTTCTGATTGCCACTTTCAAGGAGAACATGTTCTAGCTCTTTGTATGTCAGATGTTCTTCTGCCTCCGGAATCAGATGAATTCCAGCAGCTTGATCAAGCTCAGAATTAGAGGCCATGCAGCCAGCAATACCAGGATCAGCTGATTCAACACAGATTGAAACATCCTGCTGCTTCTTATTATCAGACTCATTGTCAGTTGACTTATTCTTCATGCGGCAGAGAACAAAGCCACTCAGCTGATTGGGATTAGAACCTGGGTCAGTTGGAGTGAGATTGTACTCCTGCCTGACCCAGCCGGTGTTCCTCGACTTAGACACACGACCTTCATGGAAGGTCAAGGTCCTCTTTTTGCAAGTGACCGATTTGGGTAGTTGTCGAGACTTGACTTGTCGTGGCTTGCCTGTGATTTTCCAGAAGCCCTTCCCTGTGGCCCTGTTGCAGCGAGGACTGTTGGCATATTTGTAATCAAGTCGGCTGAAGGAGAACCAGGCCCTAGGTTGATATGGAGAGTCTGGGAACATGAGCTCTGCAAAATGCAAGCAAGTCTTGAAGTAATGAACAACAAAACAACAGATTTCACAACAGCATAAATTATTGAACAAAATTGTAAATTGGAAATGAGAAAAACAGGATAATTGATCAAGATTATGTATAAACAAACATCATATATACCTTGGAAATGTTAAAATGGGCAGTGAAGAGAAATTGAGACAGATTAATGGATTACCAGCTAAATCCCAAGGCTCGTACTTGTAGACATCGATTTCAGGGATGGATTGGGAGGCCTTGCCCTGCATCATCCTCTTCAAGAAGCATCGAAAAAGTTGGATAGATTCATTATCAGGTAAATCCGAAGGCTTGTAAACGATTTCATCAGGCATGGCTTGGGAGTCCTGGCCCTCCACCTTTTTCATCAAAAGGTTCACCATTTCCTCCTCAGAGGGATGGAATCTGAACTTGGGAAGCAAATCATGCACTGATTCTTCTGTTGTTGTGCTCATACTGCTGCTCATCCCTCCTTCAACTGTTTTGGAAAATTGGAATATAAGATGATCAAATGCTTTTCCTTCAGAGAAGAAGCTGCAGAGAGCAGTGAAAGTTGTATTCATAAACAAACAAACTCACCAATCACAAGCCACTGTGCTTTTTTGGACTTGTATTTGATCCCAAAGATTCCCAAGTCTTTGATGAACATACATGGCATAATGGCATTGGCTTCAGTCATACTCATACGTGTGGATCCCACCCACTTCCTATCATGCCTTGCTTTTTTGTTTTCTTTTTGTTATTTTGAGGAACCTGCCCCTCTCGTAAGTTTCTTTTCTTTAACTGGTCATGGATTTGCGAGTACTTTAAAGAAATTCTTGACTTGTATGCTCCTCTTTCCTTGGCTTTACTACACCATGCAGATTCAAATGCCTTGGTCATTGGGGTGAAGACTGATGACCTAAGGTTTGCAGACTTGGAGTGTTGACTTGTTGACTGCTGACTAGGATTACTTAATGATTAAGTTTGTTAGTTAGCTTAGCCACGTGCATATTGGCTCTAATCAGTTGTGATGCTTAGTATAAACACTATAGCTTCTTTTCTACTGTAATTCATTCAGAGTAGTCTAAAGAATCAGAGAAATATATCTAGAAGTAGGCCTGGGCGCGGATCGGTTTGGACCGGTAGAGGGCTCTTCCGTTAACCAAACCAAAGACTTCGGTAGACCATTTTCTCTTCCGTTAACCAAACCAAAGACTTCGGTAGACTTCGGATCGGTTAACCTAACATTCGGTTCGGAACGGATCGGTAGGCCGGTACTACCGTAATAAAAACATACTAATAAAAATACAATTTATAATAATTTCACATGACATAAGTTCTTGAACAAATACACCAAATTATCCTTATAAAATACAAAATCAAATAACTTAATTTTAAAGTTACAAACGAACATTGAAACTACATAATAAAATAGCAAATAACGTTACAAAACAATAAGAAATTAGTTTAAACACTTCAAAGAACCAAAAATTGCAGCATAGAGGCCTAGTAATCTTCAATCCAAATCTGATTTGTGTACTGTAGCCAAAGAAAAACAAAGTTAAAGAATAAATATCAAGTACATGGGCATGTTATTTGAGATTAAGAAAGGTTATTAATTATTATACCATTCAATATGTAGTCAATATGGACTAGCAACCACTTTCTCTTTCATTTGAGAACTAGAATATACCTCTACATCATTAAACAAATTATGAAAGTGAGAAAATAAACATATGTCATATGAATGCAATTGAAAACCAAAAGAAATATAAAAAATTAAAATTACTTACCAGTCTCAATTTT